TGTCTTCCACATCAAATTGATACAGTAGTCCCTAGTGGACTGCATAGAATCTCTGGCATGTCTTCCTTTTTGGGGTAAAACCTCTGCCTAGGGGAGGGATTTCTCAATTATTATTTAATTTCCCTCTATCGTTAAGGGTGATTTGTTTCAGTGTTTGGTTGATTAGAGTTTTTTGGGGCATAAGGGGGTGCCAATGAAAAAATGACATGTCTTTGTAAGAGTTGGCTGTACAAGCCAAGAATCCAAACTCTCTCTCCCAAACATGCTCCCTCTGCGTATGTTCTTATGATGTCTGCCCAGTTAATACAAACTGTATGGTCTATTTAATTTGTAAAATTCAGTTTCTGAAATCAATTTATAGCCTTTAAAGTTTGGGATCAGGGACTCTCTCAGACTTTTCACGAAGTAGCTCAGACTTTTGGAGCTGTTGCAGTAACAATGAGGCTTTCCTGCAAAGCAGGTTAATGACTAATAGTTCTGTTGAATGTGAAGGCTGCTTCCCTGCTACTGTACCCATTAACGATTTTTGTCAGTGCCATTCCCGGCTCTTTACTAAACGATGCTCCAGATTTGGAAATGGCTGTTTTTCATCCAAATAAAACTGTGAGTGGATGCTGCTTCCCTCCTAACCAGGAATAGAATGTTTGGGGATGCACTTCAAGGAAAGTACAGGACTGGGTCTCTGAGCAGGAATTGCTTGTCTGTTCACTTTATGGTAGGGGTGTGGACAGCTATGAATCTGAATAGGTTATGCAAGAAATCAGGATCACAAAGACACACATGACCTGAAGCAAACAAAATTAGATAGCAATGCAGCAGTGGAAGTACAAAAAGTTACACTCGGACCACCATGAAAAACATGGGAATAACAAAAATAATAATTTCTTCATACTCCATCTAAACTCATCATTATGCATGTGAACATGTTTTTTTTTTTAATTCTGATAATAAGCAGATGCCCAGGTTGTTGGCATCATTCCAGAATTCCTACAGCAGCCTCCCTCTGTCCTGTTATGCCCGGTCATTAGACGATCTTTGCCAAACGTTTAGCAGTACTGAGTGGAGCTGATGGGGAGAGATGCCTTAGCAATTCCATTCACGTCTCTTGCTGAGCATGCAGATGAGTTTAATTTATATTTAATCAGACTCTGCAAACAGCAATCACTTGAGAGCCGTTCCATGTAACGTGCAGTGATTACCCTTATTATAGTAGTACAGTTCGTACCACTATAGTTAAGGGTCTCTCAGCCTTTCCATTATAAATCCTTATTTTTGGGAGTTTTGCAGCCTAACTGTAAAAATGCTTTTGCAGGCTGGCACGTGACATAGTGCGTACAAGGGCACAAGCTTTTTTAGACTCATCAGGAGGTGGCTCATTAGCAATTACTTACCTTGTTTTCCTGTAGCCGTACTGCGCAGTCTCCTTTCTGAGCGCGCCAAAACTCATGGGCTTCCTGTTCTGTGATCTGTAGGATTTTTGCCTAAGGAGTCGAATCTCACTTAGACTAGGAACGAATATGGCCCATAGAAATTTAATCCTTGAAAAATCCCCGAGACAGAGATTTTTAAGTGATTTACCCACAGCCACAGAGCGAGAGTTGGTGTTGATGCTCAGAGATGAACTCTGGAGTTACTGTCTGCAGGCTTTTGCTCAGCAATAGCAGTTGCCAGCCATGTAATTACAAAATATACTTGTGGTTTTTAAGGCTATACACACATCTTGTAAATATTTGGAATACTAAAGATTTTTCCTGCTATCTTTTTGTTAACCTTCAACTCTCCCGTTCTATTAATAAGCTTCTGTTTTTAAAAAGTGAATGTGATCTGCTAATGGCTAACATCTTAAAATTTGCCAACTGTTCTTATCCTGTGCTGTTAGCGAAATACTGTAGCATCTCCGTTGGAGTACGAAATGTTTTATCATGGCAAGATTACTTTTCTTCCTTAGTTGCTGTTGTCAAGTGAGCAAGTTAATGGATGCAGCAATTATAAATGTTGCAATACTGACTTGCTGTGTGGTCAGTTAAAGGACAACGGCATTTTCAATTAATTGTGCATTTTCCTTTCCCTGGAGCTACTTTACCAGATTTGGGGGGATTTAACTGAATGAATACCCTTTTTTTTGGGGGGTGGGGGGTAATAAGTGGCTGCGGGATTTTTGTTCCACATCCATCTAAATGGTAATATAGCTATTTATTATTAGTCTTCTTTTATAGCCACTTGTAAAGATAGGCTCAAATGATCTCCGCTTTCATTCATTATACATGAGAAGTATTTTGAGTATGTATTTTCAAAGCCACTCGTGATGGACAAGTAGCAGTCTAAATAGCTATTGGGGTTAAGAGGCATTTATTCTAGTTCGGCCCCAGCACTAAGGCTGAAAAGGCTGACTATGCATAATTACCAATAAATTGACATTGTAGAGTATATTTCCCAGTGCTGTGTTCCAGTTTAGGTTGGATTTATCATATTGCACTACAATAACCACCCCCGCCCCCCAGGCCAGTATTATGATGTTCATTGTAAATCTGGTGTAATACTAGGGATTAAATAGGTAGGACATACAGCATTTTTAGCCATTCTTGAATGAGTAAACTCGAATATTTTAGTAGAAATCCATAAATAAATGGTCTTAACGCTGTGACCGCCTGGATGTTTCCTAACGGTGGTTATTCCAACTGTGGCAACAGAACACTGATTCACTGGAGAATGTAAAATTTGGCTCGAGTTCTGCCTAAATATCTGGGTACCACTTGTGATAAACTGTAAAGACCAAATCTGCATCCTGTTGAAGGCAACCGGAGTCTTGCTATTTATTTTAGTGGGAAAAGGACTTGAACAGAAGTATTATTCTCTGCTATGTTGTAAAGGTGCGTTTGGTATGTCGCAAATTGATAGTAAACTAATACATCTAATTTAAACCGCAGACAATCCCATGCACCACTCCTAGAGGAGTTTCATTTTGATTCCAGATTTCCTCTTTCAAACTTTTTTTGTTGTAGCCTGGTCAAATGACTAATGGTATTTTTTCCCCCTACACATACATTTTTCTAACTCAAATAACTGGAGGGAATTTGTTCTGAGTCCAGAGTGCGCGCACACACCACATTTGGGTGAGTGTGAGAAACGTTCAGTCCAAAGGGGAGATGCTGCAGAAAGTTCTGAGCAAGTGAAAATAAGAAGGCTAATGAAAACTGTTCAACAACAATAATGTATAGAAGCTGTGCTCAACATCTCCTGTAATTACTTGCTTAGAAAATTACAAATGTTTTGATAACTTCTGTGGGTGGAAGAATAATTGGAAAAAGATATGGAAGGTAAATCAAAAACATTTTAATTAAAAATCTTATCAAGAGTAAGAAACAAAGAGCCAATTTAAAAGGGAGGACTTGAAACTGCACTTAATACAACAAAGAAAACTTTCCAGTATTAACTAGCCTTTATCAAAAAATACATCTGGATTAGCATTAGCAAATGAATGCTATAGATGTAAATCAGGTGGAGGAAGAGGGGGGTGATGGACAGAGTATACATGGGTATGTGGAAGTGTCATCTCTAACTAAGTTCTATTCATATTGAGATTTGCTATTTGTGTAGTGTAATAGGCAAACCAAATTGTGGTTGTGTTTATAAAGTTTTGGTCATCCAACAGAAACAAAAGTAAAATGAATTAGTGGATGGATAATCATTCATGGTAAAACTGATGAACCTTCCAAGTTTAAGGAACATCATCTGAAACAGCAGACTTTTGTCCAAATAGTTGTGTAATAAATATATGAACCTGAGTCGGAGAGAGACTAATTCTGCAACTTTCTTGAAGTTTTCCCACCTGTTGTTGTTGTTCCTTCTTTTAATCCATGGAAAGCACTTTCCATAAGTTTTTCAATAAGGGTTTTTTTTCTTTTTCTATACCAGGTGTAATGCTTTTATTCAAAAAAATCCTTTACGACTCAATTGTAGTTGCAAGATGTGAGCGAACAGCAAAACACAACTTTGTCAGAAGACGTGGGTAAGCAACTTCAGAAACTTGTCAAATTCTAATTTTGACGGCACAAATCAAGCAGTCAGGTGTCACTCCAGATAGCTGTAGTCTCATTTCAGACTTTCTGATCTGTCTCTGGTAAAGAGTTAACTTGAACACTGTTCTAATAGCTCTGGGGATATTAAACACTTCTATACGGCCCTTCATCCAAAGATCTCGAAGCACACTGTAGATGTGAGTCGGGAGGTAGGTGAAGAAGAATATCTGTAAAACTGATCAGAGTAAAATGAAGAGCAGGTTATGTGACTTCATGCACCAAAGCTCCATTCCTACAAGCTGCTCAATGGCTGCATAGAACTTTGCTGGAGTCAGTGGCCCCCTCCAGAATACCAGGGTTTTCCTGCCTGGTGCGGCTTTCGGTATTGAAGCCTATGTAGCGGCAGAGTCAGGAGCAGAACTGATGTCTCAGGTACGCTCTCTGTTCTTACTGCTAGTATATACATTCTTGCACAGTAATGATCTGATCTGGACCTGCACTGAATTCAGCGGTAGTCATTCCATTGATTTTGGTAGGCGTCAGATCAGGCCATTAAGTGTTCAGGAAAGTACTGCAGTGCAACAAAGTCGGGGCCTCATTGTCCATTTGCTTGCATCACTAACACTACTGATGGCAGGGAAATTATTTCTGACCTCTACAAAGGGAGTTGAGCCCCGTCTCTTAGTACCCTACTAAGCTCTATGTAATGTCGCATGCTGCTTATCTCGATCCTAGCATTAAACTGACAGTGCCAGTATTCAGCCCAAAGCACTGTTTGTAATAACAAGCTTTATAATATGTAAATCTATTTTCAAAGCCAAAAACAAATCTTTTTTTAATCTTCATGTATTCCTCAGAAGAAAGAAAGGGTCTCAGTCTGTATATTTTATGCAAATCTTGCTTTCTTTCTCATTCTTGGGCATGAATGACTATCAATGACTCTGCTTCAAAATGAGAACAAAAAAGAAATTTCATCCCTCATCAAAAGAAACGAAAACTTTATTTCTATTGCATAAATAATGGTAAAATTAAAATCTTTTTATACACATTATATATTTACAGTGGTGTTTGGTTAGAGGAAACAGCCGGTACATATGGCAGTCTGTTTTTCTTTATACACTTCTTTATACACTCAGATAACATTGTAATAACATAGAATTTAAGTTGCATGCCAAGTTCATTTATATTAATATTTACATTGGTTTGTACAAAGGTTTTTTAATTTTTTTTAACCATTATGGTTTTGAATGTGTGGGCGGTGATTGTTCTTAATTAAAATACCATATCTTCAGTTAATGAGCAAAAATGACTTTTTTTTAAAAAAAAAAACTGAATGAGAAATGGAGCAGAAATAATGACTGATGCAACACTGAGGTATATAAATTAAACTAGTAATGTTGGATTTCATATGGCTGAGCCAGTAGGCATCAATTACTCAGGTCCTACAATAAAATGAATGTCAGTGTGGCTGATTCTGATCTCACTCACTTGACTTCAATGGATTTACTCCTGATTTCACCCATGTATGTGAGAGAACAATCACACCCCATATGTTTACTGTAGTTTGATGGGATTTGTGAGAACAGGAGCCACTGAATGAAACAGGAACAGTTTGGCATGTCTAGACAAGGATGGCAGGAATGCTAATACTGTGTGTTAGTCTGGAAGAATATGAAAATAGAAGCTCTTGTTCACAAGTAAAATCAAAACAGATGTACAATATGAGGGTCCTGATCTTTTAGGCCCCAATTCTGCAAACATGAGCATGCCTAATTTTGAAATCAGTGGGCTAATCACAGTAGTAAAGTGAAGCACATGCATAATTGTTCGCAGGGTCAGGGATTTAGTCACAGGAGCCATGTGAGGAAAGGTTTGCTGTTTCAGACACAGGACTAGCAGATGTGAGTCCATTTTAAGAGGAATGCAGTTTAAAAGAAGAAAGAACAGTCCTTGGGGCTGGCTATTTGTGATAACAAAGCAAAGACAGACTTCTCTTTAGGATCCTGTTAATGATCACTCTTGAATAGGACTGGACAGAAAACCAACAATACCAGCCTGTGAAAACTTTCAAGGCTTCAAAATCTGGGTTTGTTCTGCATTGGAACTAAACCGAAATGTTCTGAAAGTTTTTGTGAAACAATTGTCGAAACATCTGTTTTCAGATCAAAAAGGTCAGGTTATGCTCTCACATCCACCCTGTAGCTGGAAAAGTTCTTCAAAATCTGTGTCTTTCTGAAACGGTTCATTTTTGACAATGGCATGTTTTGACAATACTTTACTGAACGAGTAGAGCTGGTCAGAAAATTTTCAACAAATAAAAATGTGACACGAATATAATGATCTCTGGTTGCTGCTGCATCTTCCTGGAATGACCTTGGTATTTCAAATCTCTCCTTGGATAGCTCAGAAGAAACTCACCACTCCAACTCTTCCCATTATCTCTTTCCCCAAAATCACTCATGTTACTTCCCGAAAAAGGGGAATTTTCAGTGTAGCTGACCATAGGGCAGGGAGGGGAAGTCGTGCATTCCCAATTCTGTTCAACTGCAAGCAAAGTTGCCATGGATTTTAGCTGAATACTAGGGTTTAACTTGCCCCTCTTCCTTCCAAATGAGAGCGCATTAGAATTTGCAGACTTAAATTGGCAAGTCCATTCAGAGATGCTGAATATTTCTGAGATTTATAGGAAAGATTTCTGCTAGAAATCGGAGTGTTGCCTTTGACCCAGAAAGTTAAAATTCATGTACGTGAATAAAAGAATCAATGATAGGCCTCATGAAAGTGGCAGCCAAAATAGAGATGAAAGTGAATGTTCTATATTAAATTCTTAGAATGAAGCCCATTACTTTCCTAGAAACTGACAGCTCTGCCACTAGATTTCCTGACATCAATTAGAGTATAATCTCTTATTTCACTAAGATATGGCTGCTATAAGACGTGTTGTTCCTCCATTTAAGCATGAATATATATGAATCAAGACACTTGGTCAGACTTAAGATGACCAATTTTTTAAAAGACCCGAAACTCAATAAGTCATTGTATCTGGTGGTAAAGTAGAGAGCCTCATTCTTATTAATTGTAACTCCTTTCTGTGAATGATCAAAATACCATTTCTCCTGTCGCAGACCTACAGCTAAATTGGGACTGTTAATTTCTTGCTTCTGAGGAACAACAGTTCTTGACAGCAGAGTGTGTGTGTGTACACAAGTGCATAAAAGTTGCAGTTGAGTATAAAATCTTGAATGGATAAGGGAGAGAGACTGGCATAACGCTCCTTGTATTATGTGAGCACTTCAAAATGGAATTTCATCTATAAGATTGGAACTGTGGATAGGGCTCACAGTCCTGTGCCAAGTTCCATCAGGCATTCGTTGAGTTCTTCACAGGAAGCCAGAAACACACTTTAAACACAGAAAGATTCTCTCTAATTACTGTACAGTCTTTGTTCTGGGCTTTCTGCATTCATTCAGATCAATAACATAGACAGCTGAGAGCTCACTAGGATGCTGTGACTGATAATCTTAGGATGATGACATATTCTTGAAACCATCTAAACCCCTTGGTTAATGTGGAGTTTAGGTTGTGATTGCATTACCTTTTTGATACAGTCACTAGAATTCAAGGACATTGCCAGTAAAAGCCACACCAACTTCCTGACCAACCAATTCAGACATCTAAACATCAGTGTGCAGGTACACACCTAGAATACGCAATGTGAACTGCCTGTACCCAGTCCCTCAAAATCACAACTTTAACCCTGGCCTCAGCAAGATTAGACTAGGGTTATCTTGTGGGAGGAGTAAGGGGTGGGCTGAGAAGAAAGTATCCTCTTCCATGTTCTACACTCTTTCCATGTTCTGTCCCCATCTATTCTGCCACCCCAGGTCAGAGGCTCTTGGGGAGATTCTGTGGGGTGCAGAGCTGATGAGGCAGGCTAGGTAGCAGGGCCATGGAGGTGGCATTAGAGACCAGAGCTAATAAAGGGGTTCAGACAGAATTTTCAATGCACAACTCTTGATGGGGATAAAATTTGTGGTGCTGAACTCTGTCTTAGCCTAGACAACTTGAAACATTTCAGTGTGTGTTGGGGTGTGGTTTAGAGTTTTCTTTGACCCTGGGATTGTGTAGCTACAGTGAAGTAAAAAGGAAAGTGAGACACTAGTGGCTAATTTTCATAAGATAACTATTCCAGAGAGTCAATTTTCTAAGATATGGCTGGGTAAAATGCTCATTATTTCCTGACTGGTAATTGAATTCATACCCTAATTTACTGCAACCCTTCTCTTGTGGAAAATCTTGCTGTAACCTTAACAATGGTGTGAGTACCAACTCGGTAGCAGACAATTGTTCCCAGTTATGCTGCATGGTAACATTTTGTAACTTCCTCTCAGTCCGCACAGATACTGGATCTGACTTCAGATTCTCCTTTGGCAGTAGTTAAAGGTATAAGCTATATGAAGGTCAATTCTGGTGCTTTTGTAACTTTGCTAGTTGGACAGCGTGAGCCTATCATGTTCAATTTGCTCAGCTGACGATTATGTAAATTGCTACTTCTGATGTTGTTTTTGACCCACTCGCTTATTCCCTAGCTGCAGCTTCATTCATCCACCACTTCAACTTGAGGCTGCCCAGAGATTCTCTGATCCCGTAGGGCAAAAGGTTAAAGAAACAGAAAGCCGTCTTGCTTACTGATCCAAGACTGTACCATAAATAAACCCCTACGAAAGCCTCAAAAGATTTTCAGAGGTGCTGAGTGCCCAGAATTCCAACTGAAGTGACCAGGTGCTCCACATCTTTTGAAAACCAGGATCTACCTTTTTAAATGTAAAGCATCAGGGTGAAAAAGATTCCTGAACCAGCCGAAAATTTCATCTCGGATCTCGTAAGACCGAGCCAGAATCCTCCTTACAGGGATTCTTACCCGGCTCGATACAGGTTTGGCAAGCTGGCATTGTAACAAACCAACCAGCAACCTCCTATTCCGCTTTTTGGGAGGCTCATACGCTGAACTGCTCAGGAATTTCCAGATTTGGTCCATGTCCGCAGTAATATTGGCAAATACCAAATGCCTCTCCAATTATTATCAGATGGGCTCTTTCTTGTTGTTCAGTAGTCACCTGTTTTTAAAAAGTTTGTCCTTCCAATAGGAAGCATTAACATCCATATGATCAGTCCCACACTGCGGATGCCTGTGGCTGTCCATTCACCAACTGACATAAGAACCGTCCAATCAGTAGCAAAACCGTAGGGCTTTTCTACATGCAGACTTACACTGGTTTGATCAAACTGATGCAATCCAAATGTGTGGACACACACTCATTGTTTTAGTTTGGTTTAGCTAAACCAGAATACTACACTTAAACTGAAATAAGTGTGTCCACTCAGAGGTTTTCCACCAGTTTAAATCAATCTGTTGAATTTCACATAGTTAGACAAACCAGTGCAACCCTCCACCTAGACAAGCCCTTAGATACAAGTGTATTTTCAGAATCTGGGAATGATGCATGAACCAAAAGGCAGGCTAAGTTTATCAGTTCTTGGCTTGAATACTGTTTGACCAACACTAATGAAATTGGGCTGTGTTCTCTTTAAGAAACTGTTGCATGTTTCTGTGACACTGTGCACATCTTGTATAGCCAGGGTTGCCTTTGCGATTGCCATTTGGTATGAAAAGGCAATGTGGAGCATCCCCTGAAATTCCCATGGAACTTGTAGTGTCGCTATGCAAGATGCGGAGTGAGTTACCGATATGCAAGACATGCCCACGTGCAGTAGTTAATATTACTAAACATGCAGTACTGCGTGCCTGTATTTTGGAGGGCGGGATTTATCCCACTCCTGATGCATGCCAGGCTCCCCTCCACGCGGGGAATGAGAACAGAGCTTTTTAACTGTGGTCAAGGATCAGTTTTCAAAATCTAATTCCTATTTATGAATCAAGCATCACATGGCTTTGGAGTTCTCTTATTCTGAGTAACTGACTAAGAACAGGAACATGTTTTTGAGTCCTTTTATGTAACCTAATAACAATCTAGTAGTATCAATTTAATATTTAGGCTGAACAATATGAAATTACAATCCTGTTTTTTGTATAAACTAAAACATTAAACACAAACACCTACTGAAATCCATGCGTTGTTTTCAGGGAATGGGGATGATTAAAGTAATTGAGACTTGCCAAACGCTGGTGACTTTCATTTACTATTACGATACTGATCAACACACACATGTTGATCTGTTAATGTACCCGGAGCCAAGTTTTCTCAGGCAAAACTCGCACTGATGTCAATGGGAGTTTTGTGCCCGAGGGAAGGGTCTTGGGATTTGGCCCCAGTGATCTGATCCAGCTCCCCAGGAAGTGAACGGGGGGGGGTCAGACCATAACTTAATGCTTGTCTCCGGCTTCGGTTGCTCTCCATGTGGAATGTTGGTTTCTAACTTTCAAAAGGCACCAATATGGTCCATCAACCAGGCAACTAGGAATATTAAGCAAGTGTTAAGCCTCCAGGCAATAACTGCAAATTGTTAATAAACATCACCCAGTGATAAGTAGTGTTGATGCTGTGTTCCAGTGATGCCACTTTCATCGTGCCCCTGAGATGTGAAACTGTCATCCACATTTACAGCATCAAGATCTCAATGCTCATTAGTCGACTAGATCTGCCGGGTCCCTTGCAGAAAGCCTTTAACTCTATCTCTGTTCCCTAGTGAGGAGAAGCATGTGTTTAGAACTCTCCAAGGATTTGGTTTTGTTTTGAAGTCCGTTCCTGTCCCATACCGTATGTAAATCTCTCCTTCTGGGAGAAGGAATGCTTCTCGGAGAATATTCTACCCATTGATCCAGTTTTGGCCACAGTAGAACAGAAATGAAGGGGGGGGGGGTGTGTGCACGCACACCATGTCCTGAAACCTAAGCAGAAAAATTGCATGGTTGCTTTGAAAACTAAAGTTGTCTTGCTCAGAAACAGGGAAAAGATGGATGATGAAAAGATTGTGGATTTAGGTGGGGGGGGGGGGGAAGAGGAATGCAAATCCATAACCGATACTGAACACATCCATTGTCTGTAGTGTCTGTAGATGGAGGAGGAGGCAGAAGAAGAGGAAGGAATGGTTCCATCATGATCACTTTCTAATCAGACCAAATAAAAATACGCATTACATGTAACAGACCAACCTGGTAGCCAAACAAAAAGACCGTTAGTTTTCAGGACAGATCAGGGTTTAAGATGCTTGGCTGCATTGTAGGGGGGAGAGAAGGAATGGAGCACTGTGCGTCTCTGCAGTGATTATGGCCGGCGCACCCAAAGTTCCACTGACAGTCCGGGGGAAGTGCGTGTTGGAGACTAAGCTCTGCCTCCCTTTAAAAAGGTGAAGCATCTGCTCCTTGGCCCCACTTTCACAGTGACGCTTTCCACCCCCTTGGGGGCATCTAACGTAGCTGGCAGCACTCAACTCCTGCAGCTCTTAGGGCTCTAACCCTGCACTCAGGTATCTAAAGAAATACAGCCTACACCTTCTCTCCTCCCCGGACACACACTGTCCATTTGACGATAGCAGGTGACTTTCACCCCTACCTCGTACCCAGATCACGCGAGGATCGTTCAAAGCTAAATGCAAGGATCATGCCTTGTTTAAAAAAATAAAAATTCCATATTTGATCCTGGCATCAAGCGTGCGTAGTTCTTGTGCTCGTCCCAGTACATGTTGTACCTTTTGTCTACATAACTCCCTGATCTTGTTTGTGCCGCTCGTGAAAATCTCTTCCAGGAAAAATGAGTAACTCTCAGGATCTGAACGGCTGACGTGCTATGTAACATATGGCAGTATTTTCTACTCTGAGCTCTTCCACTGCTTGTTGCTTTCTGCTTTTCAGTTTTCTCTCCCATGAGCCTATGCACGAGGGGAAAAACTGCCCCTGATAAAAGACAGAACAGTCAAATGATCAAAAACGAACAACACCAAAAAGTCAAAGGTATGAGCTACTTTATATATATTTTTTTAATAGAAGGTGCCTAGCATAGAGACTTCTGACACCTAACAAAGCGTGAAATTGGAGCCAGGACTCAAAAAATATTGTTTTTATTGGAAGAGTTCTCCTAGGATTTTTGGTGCCTGAGATGCTTGTGCAAGACCAATTTAGAGCAAGGGCAAAAGCGAGTTTGCTGAAAACCAGTGAGTGACCTCTGATGGACAGATGGAGCCAAATATGATCTTTAATTGATAGCGCTGGTTGCAGACTCAGTAGGAAGACTGCACAGATTTTTAAAATGCCCATGTGCTAAAGCAAGCTTTTTTTTCCTTTTTCTTTTAAAAGCCCTGATTGAAACAGAAAAAAAGCAGAGTGCTTCCCCCACAATCTTGTGTCAAAGGTGGGTTTAAAACCAAAAAAATAAAAAATGCACAATACTAGCAAATTTTCCTTTTTGAAATTTGAAAATACTGTACAAGGACTTTCTAGCTCCCCTCCAATGCCGTAGACTTGAGCGCACAGTCATAAGGGAAAACACAGCGAAGTAGATGAAGTAAAACAAACTGTATTTGCTTGTGGCTACGCTATGATCGACTTCCTGGGAACATGGGACTCCAGGAAAGCTACTCAAAATAGTCTGTTGGCCCCCTAGGTTAAAAGACAGTCCCACAAAAATAGCTCGTAAGGCTGCGCTTCTTCAGAATCACAAAATATAACTCTGGATGAAAGTGAGTCCTCCTTCAAGTTACCACCGCCGTTTTGAAGCAATAATTCAGGACTCCTGTATGTTTATTGCATTAGGAAACTAAGCCATTAAAGCATTAAGACAGCCCTTTTATGTCCCTGCCAAGAGGATGTAGTTGATTCACAAGACGTATTACACTGCTAGCCTCGGGTTCCTTGTCGACTGGTTCTTTATCTGCCCACCTCTTTCTTTATTTCCCTTTTCAAAGTTGATTGAGGAAAAAGTTCACCCGTTGGCATGCGCATGCATGGTTAGTTTGGTTCACAGTGTTATGTTGAAAGGCTATTCCATGCCGCTCCGGAGGATCTGGTTGGCTGCAATCAGCATGACACTTATAATAAAGGCCATGGCAAATGCACATATAAGGCTCTTCCGTACACAGGTCTGTCTGTTCTGTTTCTGGGAGTGAACTAAAGTGGGAGGGAAAAAATAGAGGAGTATTACAACTGGAAGTATTTAGTCTTTCACCAGTTTTTCTTTGTATCATAATAAGCACTTAACATCTCTTGCATCTGTAGCCTCTCTGCAAAAAAATCCATATCAATTGAATTTTACCCCACCCTTTTCACTGGTCTGACTTTTGAATGGTTAAACCTCTAGTCTATTCCTTTTGAGATTCCCCCAGATTCGACAGCCCCAGTTGTTTGACTTCTGATTTAAGAAGTTACATTTCCATAAAGATTTCCACCCCTGGATTTCCATACCAGTAATTTAAATTCTCCACTGTGCACTTCAAAGGGAGACTGTCAAGCCGCATATTGCCCAGTCCTGGCACATGCTAAATTCAAGCCCTCTTATTCTCAATACAGACTGATACGCCAGGTATCCTTGCACAACCCCAGATCAGTTTTTCTTTTATAGTCCTTAGAGCAACATTGGAAACTTCGCTTGGATTCTATATTGATGACACATGTATTATGGTCATCTAGTGCATCTTTCTGTCAATGCAGGATTTGCTCTCTTGCAGTGTATTTTCTAATGCTTTGTCCAAAAGGCTTGTAAAACAATCAAGTGATCAATTCTCATCGTATTCACCCTGCATGTTCTCTAACTTCACCCATTGCTCCTAGTTAAAACTCCTAACCCATTGCTGTCTCCTCCTGGCATTGAAACACTGTTTACAAGTATTAGAAGGGTTTAAATTTACTGCTGTTTAATCCACGAACTGACCATCTCTTCAGTCCTTTAGATATAGCTCCATTAATCTTTCCTTATAAATCATTTGTGTTGGTCTTGACTGAAAAGATGTAGTCAAATTGGAAGGAATTCAGAAATGCGGTGCTCAGAACTGAGCAGAGAGTATTCCAGATCGGGGGTCTCATCAGACAACTCGCTCTAAATATTGTGCCCAATTGCCATGGTTAAATATGGTTACATCACTTCCTGGAAGCGCATTCAAAGTTTTCAGTGTACAGGCAAAAGGAGACCTATTAAAAATGACTTACAGAACAGTGGGCAAACTTTTCTCTAAATATCCTGTAGAAAAGCAGGCTTATCATCTACTAGTCAAAAGACAATATTTGAAGTCAGGAGTTATGGTTGTTTTGTTTTTTTAATCTCTACCACTGGCTCACACCATGACCTTGTACAAGCCAGTTTACCCCTCCAGGTCTTCATCTCCCCATCTTGCAGAGTTATTGTAATGATTTAGTATTTGGCAAGTGCTTAGGGGAGCCTCTGCTACAGTACTAAAGTGCTATAGCAACTCGGCGTATCATTAAGTTTGCTGTTGCAGGAAGTATGAAATCTGTCTTATCTGTATTTGCTAGGCAGCAAATAGCTTTCTTATTTTGGTGTGTGTAGGGGAGGGGGAGAGGGCATAGCTGATTGATTATGGCAAGCACTGACTTACTGCTAGTGATTATAAACCTTCTCCAAACAAGCATGGTAATCACTAAATTTTGATATGGCTTCCCCGTACCCTAGTTATAACATGGACATGAAGTTGCCGCCTCCATGGTCAGATTACTAATGAGAGAACCTCAAATGACTGTCAAAACTGGAATATTATCTCAAATATCAGACTTTCAGATGAGCAGAAGAGATTCTGAACTTCTCAAGTGTGGAAAGCTTGGGCTGGTGGTTTCATGAGAATGGGTTTTCCTCTCATGATACCCTGCCCTTCTGGTTCTGATGCCAGCTGGAACCTGAATATCCAAAGGCATGCAGAAAGTGTGTGTGTGTGTGGGGGGGGGGGGTGGAAGCTGTTCATAACTGTCGGAAAGCTCCAGATATTCAGTTCTGAGTGTGTTACTGTTTGTTCCTCTCTCATAAGGGGGTAAGGAAATTTGAATTGTAATGCCCACTCCCATATGAATGTTAGTTGCCCTGCAATAACACTTCAGTACATCCTTACTCCTTCTCAAAAGGTGGTATTTTGATGGAAATGGCTGTTTCTTTAGCATCCTTTTTTTCCTAGGTCAGAGAAACCAATAGGGGAGTCAATAATTTCCATGCAGAGAGAGTGTAAAAATCCCCATTGTGGCAGTTGTATACTGTTTCCTCTTCTGGGGCATTAATAACAATAATAAAAAAAATCCTGAACTCCAGCCTGTACCTTTTTCCTATTCTATCTTCTCACTGTTGCTTTCTTCCTTGGTTTGTTTGGTTTTTTTCTTTCATCCAACACTGATTCATTATTTTATGTTAGAAGTTGCATGGAAATAACTAAGATCAGAATCAGGCCTAGGATATCTAGTATTCTCTGATATTTTTCCTGTCTGCCTACTTCTCTTGTCTTGGTTCTTATATTGTGCATCACTGTATTGATCAGTCCCTTGTATTCATTTTAATAGAAGATTATGACATACTGAATTTATATTCTACAAATGAACAAGATTATTTCATGCGTCTCACTGATATGATGAGGCAGTATTTGGGTGGTCAGAAATAAGAAATCCTCTGCACCCCAGCACACTCTATACTTGGCCAGCTGCATTTCTCTTTAGAAAGGAAGACAATCAACAGGACTGTGTGTGACCTAGAACACTGGCAAATGGAAAAACTGGTTCAGCAATAAGTTTGCAACATCCTTAAAATGTTCCACAGGTTTTATTTGAGATTTGAGTAGCCGGAACTTAGAAGTCTGTTTGTTTTGTTTGTTTTTTGAACTTATTAGGGCACAAACAAGTCTTCCATTTCTATCTCCAAAGAATAAATCATTGGTGATTCACTGTGGGCCTAAATTATTCCTGCCAATGTTAGTCTTATTCTGCACTGCCTACTGTACATGGTGTTGATGGGGGTGGAAGCAGAGGGAGGGAGGAAGAAAGACAGTTTTATGAAACATGCACAGGTCCCTTCACTAATCACAAGGGATCTGATCCTGAGAGGTGCTGAGTCAAATGGAGTTGTGTATGCTCAAACTTTTCATCTGGTCAGGGCCAGATCCTGAATTCAGCTGGCAGGAGAAACCTGTCAGTCCCAGGGCCCCACTTTTCCTTATGGCAGGCTCCTCTGTGCTAAGGGTGTGAATTCCTGCCCTGCCTATGAAAAGGAAAGCTGCCACCTTGAACAAAATTGCTCTCAGAGACCACTCATTACAATATAATCTTCCTGTAGCCCTGATCTGTCTACTCGCAAGAGTTGTGTAATGCAACATAACCCACTTTGAGCTACAGTTCCTATAGCTGTAATGCAGTCTGGTTAAACAAGGGTTTTGAATGAGGCTGTAGCAGCCACAGAGCTGTCCAATGGCATTCTAGAGGAAGATGTGTTTTTTTGGAGAGAGGTGCACCTATATACACACAAATAAGTGTCTGGTGGTATTGAGCAAAGTAGACCGATGGAGTGGGCCTAGAGCTTGATTTTTTTAAAGACCGCCTCATGGGCTTTGTCCTCCCAGAGTTCAGCTCTCTGCAGCTGTATTGAAAAATATTTTGTCTTGCCTTTATTCCACTGGGAAAGGTCTGAGAAAAGACAACTACCATGAATATCTAGGCACACTGCACAGGATGCTAGGTAGAGCCAGGATAGATTCAGCTAATATGGGTCATAACTAGCCAAGCTCTAATGCTGGCGCTCCCTGATAAGATAAGGCTGGGGTTTTTGGAATGAGGAAAGTCAGCATTTTACAGCAGAGACCTGTCCGTAGTGGTGTCTAGGCTCTGTACCATTATGGCTGTGTATTGTGTTTTCCTATTTGGAAGGACTGAGAGTAATGAAATCATTTAAGCATAACACTTAGGTCTTCCTCAAGGTTTGTTTGACTGGAGTTCTCCCAGAGGCTAGCCACTTTTCTCCTCAAAACAGAGGAGATGAACATGGTGCTATAGAGAAGAATACAATCTTAGCAGTGGCTGGGTGTGTTCGGAGTAAGCACAGCAGTCGGATGTGAGCTTTCTTCTGAAACTGGTCAGGGTCAGGAATCCCTCTGGGATGCGAGAGGCTGAGTAGCAGCCTCGAAAGGCAATCTGTGAGATTGAGCTACATAAAGACATTCCCAGGAAGCAAGGGTTATCTGCAAGAAGATTGTCACATCAAAGCAGGAGAATCTTATTAAAGCGAGGGAAGGGTCGCCAAGTGGGAATAGCCCCTGGTGGAGTTCACTGAGTGTGTAACTCGTTCATGTACGATAACTAGATACAAGGGGCTGGTCCCAGTGGGCTCAGCCGAGAGCAAGCACAGCAAAGGAAATGAGCTATGCAGCAGCACCAATGAACATCTGAATAATGTCGGGTGACCGCTAACGAAGACGCGTACATGTATAACAGGTGCCAGGCAAGATATGGCCCAGGGTCTATGCTGGACCTCTGTGGAGGAAGAGCTGTTGGAGGTTGCAGGGGCAGAGAGTGGCTGCAGTTTTTCTTCTATTGGGTTGGGGAAGAGGCCACAAAGAGCTAACACTGACCAAAATAGAGCCATAGTATCTGAGGGATGCCCCGAGTCAGCAACCTCTACCATAAAGCTACCATGTCCGATCTGGCCAGTGTTATCATGGTTAAGCTATTGCTAGAAGTAAAGGATGAGCCTTCTTCAAATGCAGGTGCTATAGGACCTGGTCAGTATCCAGCAAATTCAAATTACGTGCTACAAAATATTTACAGGTTTCAGAGTAACAGCCGTGTTAGTCTGTATTCGCAAAAAGAAAAGGAGTACTTGTGGCACCTTAGAGACTAACCAATTTATTTGAGCATGAGCTTTCGTGAGCTACATCCGATGAAGTGAGCTGTAGCTCACGAAAGCTTATGCTCAAATAAATTGGTTAGTCTCTAAGGTGCCACAAGTCCTCCTTTTCTTTTTGAAAATATTTACAGTGAACGTTGTCATAATTCCTGCACGCGGCGAACAACACTAGGAGCGTGGCTGTACAAACACCGAGTTTGCAGCAAGTCACGGTGTAAATCTTACAGCATGCTAACTGGCTGCACACTAACTGTGCATGTGGACCATGCTGCCATACATTAAAGCC